TGCAGTATTTGATGGGTAAAACCATGCCCAGCTCTGGATCTGGAGGATGGCTTCTTTGAAGGATAATGCTGAGCATTTCAGAGGATGCAGCATAGCAGTCCTGGCACTCACCTTGTACCTGCAAGCGATGCTGCTGTGGCTCCAAGCACAGGCACTAACAGAACAGCTGCCTTCAGAGATAATTGGAAATAAAAGGTCAGGACAAGAGTTGTCTACACCAGAGACGTGGTACATTGGTGCCTGCTCACCAAAACCACCTGGGAAATGCAAAGGGAGCTTTCCTGGGACCAAATTATCTTTGGATGCTGAGGCAGAGTCTGGGAAATGTGCCCCCCTCTTCACTGCAGAGCCCTGTCCCTAATGATGTGCTTCTGTCTGTGAGAGTTTGCTTCTGATTACAGATTGCAGAGCAGGAGGGAAGCGATGAGCCTTTCAAGCTGTCATTACCATGGAGGATCCGGGTAATAACCCTTGATGAGCCCCTTGGAGAGAGAGGAGTTCACTGACTTGCTCAAGGGAGGGAGGGTCTGACCCTGCCAGCCCAGGGACAGTTGTCTCTTGGATCTTGTCCATAAGGAAGAAGCACGGATTTGCCTCTCACACTTCAAATGAACCTTTGCTGCTCCCCCAAGCCAGTGATGGAGGGGAAAGCATATGGATTCCCAGTCCTGGTCCCCCGGGTGTGGGAGATGCTTTGGTTACTTGCTTGGAGGCATGGCTAGCAGCAAGAAATCCTGCCTTGAGATACAGAGATGGAAAAGGTAGGGATTGATATAGAACAAGGCAGCAGTGAGGTGCCTCTGTCACACCTGATGGGGATGTGCTGCATGGCCAGGAGTTTCACTGGGGAAATTCCCTTCTGAAAGGAAAGATTGGAGCTTCTTGGAGCCACTTTTCCATCCCAGATTCCACCCCAGATGTGACGAGCTTTTCTCCGAAACAGGGAAACCTTTTATACTGCAGAGCAAAACAAACCCAGACTCCACCAGTGGTAAATGTACCAAGAAGCTTTTTCTGCTCTCGAGTATCAGTGATGCAGAAAGCAGAGGGAGAGCGAAAGTCTTAGCCTGTGGCTTGGGAGATGTGCTGCACCTCTTCCTGTGTGTTTAGGAAGCCAAAGGAAAGTGAATTACACTTGTAATGGGGTACACATGTGCATGGGGTTGTGCATGTGGCAAGGCAGCAAATCCCCAAGGAATTATAGAATCCCAGACTCATTTGGGTTAAAGCGACCTTAAAGCTTCTCCAGCTCCAACCCCTGCCCCGGGCAGGGACACCTTCCACTAGAGCAGGTTGCTCCAAGCCCCTGTGTCCAACCTGGCCTTGAACACTGCCAGGGATGGGGCAGCCACAGCTTCTCTGGGCACCCTGTGCCAGCACCTCAGCACCCTCACAGGGAAGAGCTTCTGCCTTAGATCTAACCTGAACTTCCCCTGTTTCAGTTTGAACCCATCACCCCTTGTCCTATCACTCCAGTCCCTCATGAAGGTCCCTCTCCAGCATCCTTGTAGCCCTCTTCAGATACTGGAAGCTGCTCTGAGGTCTCCACGCTTTTGGACAGATGCAAAGCAGCTTTGCTTTGTGCTATAGGGGTAGTCGGTGCTTGTGGTCCTGGCAACAAACCAGGCCATAACTCTGTTAATGAAGTTGCATTGATTAGAGTTTTAATTAATCATTCAGCCCATGCACCTCCTGCGGACACGGTGCCAGCTTACAAGCACCGTGGCTCCAACCCAGCATTGGCTGAGCAAAGAAGTGGGTAAGATAAAATATCTGATGATGAATCCATCCTTTTCGGATCCCACCACCTTCATTCAGGGTAAAATTTAAAGGGCTTAAATGATTTGTGTGTAGCTGTGCTTGAAAGAGAGTTGATACCATCTGAGACCACAATTATTTATTCTCCTTTATCATACAACAGGCAACATATGGGCCCCTTTCTCCACCGCGGATGACTAAGTGATGGCATCTGGTACTCCATTATATTGCAAGTGTAAAGCAAATGAGAAAAGATCCCCTTCAGACAGCACTTTGCTGTTGTCAGGAAGGCTCTCTGGAGATTTTCATTGCAAGGTGCTGCTTTGCTGACTTTCAAACCCATCCTGTTCAGAGCCAGGCCTGTTTCTGGATGCTGAGATTGCTGGCAGCTGGGGTTTTCCCTTAATGCTTCGTCTGGTCCCCACAGATGGGATCCCTCCATCACCTGCTGCGTCTTCACTCCCCATGTAGATACGTCTGCTCTTCCCACTGGAGCTGCTGAGCACAGAGGTTGGTGCATGTCACCCTGAGCAGCTGAATAGCTCCAGCCCCTGCTGGTTTTCAAAGCAGCTTGAGCAGCAGTGTGGGTTGGGGCAGATTTGGGGGTGCCAGAGCTCCTGTCCCTCAGGGAGCAGCCTGAGCACCTTTGGGTGATGGTGGCTCCAACATGTGTAGTATCCTAGTCCTTTTCCTGTGCACACCAGGATGCAGAGGTGCTGACCAAACCGTGCAGATCATAGAATCATGGAATGGTTTAGGTTGGAAGAGACCTTGAGACTCATTTAGTTCCAGCCTGCTGCCATGGGCAGGGACACCTTCTATTAGACCAGGTTGCTCCAAGCCCCATCCAACCTGGCCTTGACCATTTAACAGATGTGCTATGGTTGAACATCACTGCAAAGTTTTCTGTCTCACTGGCACTTGAGAGCAGGGATGATGCTCCCAGGAGTAGGGGAAAGGAGCTGGTCATTCCTGGCTGGTGCAGGAAGCGGAGCCAAAGAGGGTTCACCATCATTTGGAGATCCCCTTCACCCTTGTGCTGAGCTTCTCTTGGGTCTATCCTGAGGGTCATGCAAGGGAAGACCTCCAACTACCATCTCATAATGAGGGGGACTTCTGGCTCATCCAGAAGATGGGAATGCCACAGGGCTGCCGTATCCATGGTTCCAGCTGGTCCCATAAAGCCTGCATCAGCCCCTTAGAGACAGAAGTAGCTGGGGACCAGTGTAGTGCCCATAGATGCTGCAAGCAAAGTGCTGGGTTCTTGGATGGAAACTGTTCATGGCCGAGCTGAGAGCTTGTCCAGCCCCACAGGGCAGGATCATGCTCTGAAACCTGGGATCTCCCCCAAATTCTCCTTTAGCTTCCAGGTTTCATGCCCCTCTAAGGCAGACTGTTCCCATACCCAACTGTTGTCACCACAAGCCACGTTCATTCCAACATCTCATCTTTCTCTTCCTGGCTGCAATTTAAGCTCATTATGGGTTTTTAGTGACTGGATGGTTCATAAGAGTAAGCCACAGGGAACTTCACAATTACACCAGCGCTGCGAAGTGGTGCACAAGGTGACCACCTTTCCACAGGGTGCTTTGGAGAGCTGGAGTTCTGCTCTCACAGATCTCATGGGGCAGACCTAGAGCAGGACATGGGCTCCAAATGGCTCACACCAGGGTGGTTTTGGCACAGCTACCCTAGGTCCAGGCCTGAAGGATTCATGGGGTCATTATTTATCCAACAGCACCTGCAATGGACCTCCACTTGGTGGGGCATCTCTTTTCTCTGGTCATCTCCAGAAGAAACCCAAACCAGGCACCACAGAGCCTTGCCACGAGGTCCTAGGCTTGTGCTCCATCCATGTTTACATATTAATTTTAGGATGGGATTGCTATTACTCCATTTTTCAAAGGGGTGTTTCTGTTTAAGCCAACATGCTTTGCCAGCACAAAACGTTCCGTGTCTGGAGCAGAACACAGCAAATGGGACGCTGCTTTGAAACACAAAGAAGGAGGGGTTTGGGGAATGTTATTTTCTGCTCTCTAGCAAAGGGTATTGCAGAGCATTTAGCAGAGATAAAGAGGGATGGAAAGGCTGCCAAGCTGCAGACAAGAGCAACAAGGTAGATTTTGCCTGGAGGGACCAGAAAGTAACTGGTTTTCCTCCAGCATGTCCTGGGCTCTTCATTAAGGTTTCTGTGGTGGATTGTGGACTCCTGCTTGTCTTACCTTTGCATTTGTGTTTAATAAAGCGGTGGCAGCAGGAGGGTTTGCATCACACTAGCACTGAGCAGAGCAACTTAGGAGCCTCATGCAATGCAGTGTGCACACAGGGGGGAAGAAGCCAGTTTCCTTATCATCGTGGGGTCCCTGGGAGGGGATAGAGTATGGAGCTCCACAGGCCCCTCCTTGGGTAGTGGGAAAAGGGTGTGATTCATTTGTCTGCTTGCTAAAGAAGAAGAGCTTGCTAAAGGCTCTCACTTGGCAAAAGTCATGCTTTGACCTTCTCCTGCAACAGCAGCAATTGATCCCCACCTTAAAAACATAGAATGGGTTGGGTTGGAAGGCACCTTAAGATCATCTAGTTCCAATCCCCCTCGCCATGGCCAGGGACACCTCACACTAGACCTTGTTACCCAAGGCTCTGTGTCCAACCTGGCCTTGAACACTGCCAGGGATGGGGCAGCCACAGCTTCTCTGGGCACCCTGTGCCAGCGCCTCAGCACCCTCACAGGGAAGAGCTTCTTCCTTATACCTATCCTGCACTTCCCCTGTTTCAGTTTGAACCCATCACTCCTTGTCCTATCTCTGCTGTCCCTGATGAAGGTTCCTCTCCAGCATCCCTGTAGCCCCCTTCAGACCCTGGAAGCTGCTCTGAGGTCTACAGCTGCTTCTCTTCTCCAGGCTGAACAGCCACAATAGT